ACACGGCACTAGTATCACCCTGTCGTCTACCACCAAATGCTTTTCTGGCACCTCCTGTTGAAGTAGACTCACTTGCTTGGAACCTTCCAACTTTAATCCCGTTCTCGATCATCTCCCCCATAAGAATCAAATCTGAGAAACTGCTCAATGACACACTAAACAATTTTTCGTAGAACACCCCTGTAAATGTCCCAATGAACATGTCATTCATCTCCCTTTCAATTAAAGGAGGATGCACCCTCGCTGCCATATCGCGCCACCTTTGCGCATACTCTTTAAAGCTTTCACCGCTCTTCTGTGACAAACCCTGCAATTGGACCCGGTTTGGCGCCAGATCGCTGTTATATTTGTAATGTGTCACGAAAGCATCAGCCAATTGCTTCCAGGTTTTGATATGCGTGGACTCCAGCCCCATATACCATTCAAGTGAAGGTCCTGATAAGCTATCCTGAAAGAAATGCATGAGCATCCTTTCATCATCTGAATACGCGGACATCCTTCTATAATAAGAGCGGACATGGACCTTAGGGCAGGTGTCTCCCTTGTACTTGTCAAAAGTGGGAGCCTTGAATTTCAACGGCACCCTTAGCCCTGGTACCAAGCCCATTGTAGTCATATCCAAACCGGTGGAGTTCTGACTCACTACCCCCTTCATCTGTTCTTCAAGCATTCTGATCCTCTGCACAGGATCAACAGGTCCTTCAAATCCCATGCCTCTTCCAGAAAAGGCATCCTCCTGGCGGTCTTCGCCCCAATTCACATTTTCATTTCCATATCCGTCGTAACCAGTGTTGCGACCAAACCCTTGCTGATTGATCATGGGACCTCGTCCCCCGTTACCAAAACCCTGGTTGACCCTAACAGGTCCAAACCCAGTGTTGATAGGAATCACCCCAACACCATTCATATTACCAAATCCACCATACCCCTGGTTAGCGTTACCAAAACCGTCGTAACCGAAACCCTGCGTGTTGAAGCCGAATTTCTCGTCCTGATTGACGTAATCAAATCCTTGATCATTGTAGCCAAAACCATTGTTTCCAAAACCATTACCGCCATTGTTGTTACCACCGCCTTGGTTGGCGTCCCCAAACCCAACATTGTTAACAACAGTCTCATTTCCATTCCCTGTGTTACCATTGCCAGCGCCAGCGCCATCGTTTACAACCATAACCGGTGGGGTCACCACAGGTGGAACCACAGGCGTAGGGGGCCCATCCTCCGGAATAGTTTCAACGTGCGCAGAATTGGGGTCATTGTTGCCATTCCCATTAGTCCGCGTCAGCAGCGGCTGTACCAAAGTCTGGAGGCTCTCCTGGCCCTTAGCAATATTCTCCATTGCTTGCATGAACAGATTCAGCTTCTCGCGGATTTCCTGCATCTCCACTTGGACTTGATCCATGATTCTCTTGCAGTTGTTTCGGGTTGAGTAGCGGTGGACTCTTTGTTCGTCAATCCTGAAAAACCTGAAGATGCAGGAAATAAGATATAGATTCGAGAATACCAGTCATGCAAGATGAATGCAGATGCAAATGTGTAAATATGCTACAGGTTATATTCCCCCCGATTCTAGTTTCGGAGAGAAGGCCATCACGACAATGGAGTCCCCATCAAGCAAGCAAGGAATCAGAAAACCCTCATATATAAACAAATGCCAAGAGGCTGAGTACAAGAGTACAACTGAATACAACTGAAGAGACCTCGGCCAACAAGCTTGGCGATGGTCAAAATACAAGTACAAATAACAAAAGCAAGGCAAAGATAAATCAGGCCAAGTGGCGTTCTCTGACGTCTTCCAATATCCTCAATGTCTCTGAACGACCCAGTCTGGAGATTAGCTCTTGTATCAGTAAGGCATGCCGCTCGGCAGTGGATCTCAGTTTTTTGGCGTCGTCCTGGCAGGTTCCTTCGCCAGAACCCTCGTCGAGTCTGTACCTCTTGGAGCCGGCCGTCACTTCATAACCTCTCAGCTTCTCGTCAAGGTCACTTACTCTAAGCTCAACAGCGCTCCTAAGTGATGTCTCTTCGGCAATCTTTGCGTCTTGGGCTCTAATCTGTGCCTCTAGCGTGGCAATTTGCAGCTTCAGTTCATCTTCACGCTCCTTCCGCTTGGTAAGTGTGGCATTCCACAACGTTTCCCACCTGCTGAGGCGGGAATAAGCTTTGCTTAAAAGTTCCTTCTTGGAAGTAAGCACCTTGCTGACACCGTTCAAGGTTATTCCCACTTTTTCTTTCTTGTTGGTCTCCTACGTCAACTCTGAACCTAACTTATTAATCAATTCAGTTTGTTCCCTCACAGTGAAGGTAGCTTCATTCTTCTCATGACGCAACTGGAAGATCTCCCTTTCTAACTCATCATTGGCTTTCTTCAATTCTTCGTTTTCAGCCAACAATTTGTTATACTTCGCACTCTCTACCGAAGTAGGTACCTCAATCACTGGAAGATACAGAGGTTCCACAGCAGGATATGGCATCAAGGAAATCCTAGCTCTCTCGCGGATCCAAGCCAAATAAGGATCATAAGCTTTGTTGTTGCTCTTACCAAGAAAAGCTTTCCCTCTCCTATGGATGTTAGCCCATGCATGTCTCAATCTGATCAAAACAGCCGTGTTTAATAAGCCTGTGAGATACAGAGATTCTTGTATCTCCTTCTCAATAGGAGCGTCCCTCAAAGCATAACCGAATTGTCTTACCAGCAGTGAAGGGTTATAGTTAATACAACATTTCCGTCCAATCAAAGGGACATTCGGAAAGCCACTGCAACTATATATAATATCGGTGCCAAGCATGCTCCGATCAAACCAAATGATGTTCTCAGCAGACAGCCCCATCAACTGGGAAGACCAATTCAAAGTATCAACAACATCAACAAAAGGTCCTGTCTTCGGAAGATGCCCCTGGTGAAGGTGAGAAAATACTTAGAAGGGGGGTTGAATAAGTATGACAGAAAATAATCAAAGATAAAAACTCAAGTATTTTTATCCTGGTTCGTTGAACTCAACTACTCCAGTCCACCCTTTTCAAGAGTGATTTGCCTTTCTCAACAAGGACTTAATCCACTATTCAAATCAACTGATTGCAAATAGCAACACCTAAGAACAACTGTTCTTAGTCTTCTCAAGAGCTACTGATCTAACCTAGATCCTCTTAAGGAAAACAACACCTAAGAACAACTGTTCTTAGTACTCCTCTTACATTCATTATCTCTGGTTCCAGTGCTGAATAAATTACCAATAATCAATTTGGTTTTATGTTTGACATACATTTCAACCATGGAAGTGATCTATTTACTATGACGTGTGATGGAGTGATATCAGATGTGTCAAAAAGACTAGCAGTTAATTTCGGTTGATTTGGAAAAGGCATATAATAGTGTGCCTAGAGAGATTTTGTGAAAAGCGGTAAAAAAAGAAAAAGATTGCCCATATTCGAACTATCAAAAATATGTTCGAGGGAGCCTCAATTAGTGTGAGGACAATGTGGAATCACAAAAGACATTCTCATAACAGTAGGACTACACCAAATGTCATAGTATGATATATAATAGAACTTTATGGCATCATTTAATCTATGTAGCTGACTTCCCCATAAGGGTAAAATTATCATGCTTGTAAAAACTCGAGTTTAACATTATGGCAAAAGTTGATCCCAAGTTTAACACATAGCCAAATCGCAGCTGTTGGATAACCGCAATTGTTGGATGTTTTTAGCATAGCAGTTAGAAGTAAAAACACATAGCCAAACCAAGTAGGACTCGTGGAACATAATATGCAGCTTATCCTCAAAGATTTTCCATTCCATGTTTGAATGCAAATGAGATATAACACAACAAAAAAGGTTCAAGCAAATGAACTTAGAATCAATATAGGTTTTGTTTAGTTAAACATTTATCATATAAAGTACTTATGTCTAAGCTATTTATACAAAAAAATGGATAAAATAAAGTTAAATTGTTTTTATACAAGTCATAAGTTGTTTTCATAAGCTATCTTGAAAAACTTATGGAAATAAGCTAAAAAACAACTTATGAAAGTTCTCCCACACAAACCTCACAAGTGCTTATGCTGGTATAAAAGCTTAAATAAGTCAATATGAACAATGTTGAACCATCTTTATACTTTCTTCCATAATATAAACAATGTTGAGTTATCTTTATACTTCACCCAACAAAATCTCAAATATAACACATATGAAATATAAGACATACCATCATAGTTATACTTTTCATTAGTGTTCAATCATTACAATAAATGTTAAGTTCTGCCAATAACCAAGCTAAACCATGTTAGTCTGTTTTACTTTTAGACTGAATTAACTTATTTAAGCTTATCTACCAGCATAAGCATTTAAAAGATTGTTTGGACAATCTTATGAAAACAATAACATGTCCATAAGATGTCATCAACGTATTTCTACAAGTTATCTAGGATAACATATGAAAATAGCTTATATAAATACAATGTAACTTTATTTTACCTAATGTTATATAAATAGCTTATACATAAGGAGTCATATGATAAATGTTTATTCTATAAGCATTAAACCGAAAATTCTTTATCAGAGGTTGAAGTGAAATATACATTTCACAAACTCAAAATTTTGAAACCAAAACATGCGACAAACAACGCATCTTCATAGTCATTCATATAAAAGAAATGGTTAACCATTTTCAGAATCCACATCAAATTAACTAAAACTCATACCATTTCAAGTTCTTGCGCCATTAAGATACACGGCCCGCACCACGTCGAGTAGAAATCAATAACAATAGGAACATTTCTTTCTCCTTTCACCAGCTCCTGGATTTCCTCTGCTGAAAAAATTTTTGGCAAAATCTAAAACAAAAACAATCAACGAACATCGCTACATCACCAAACATCAACCACTTAACTTTCAACATCTAATAGTTAAAAGCTAGAGAAAATGACTATATGAGCAAAGAAAGTTTCAATTTTTCTAACCTAGGATTCATGAGAAGAAAAAAGAGCAGAAACCCAAAATTAGAATGAAGGAAACAAAGGTATTGAATTTCCAAACGCGGCGTATCCAAAACAACCGCAAAGCATGTAGAAAAATGTGGTCACTATAACACTGATTAATGTAGCCTTCTTCATTGTTTTCGACTCTGGCGGAGGTGGTGCTTTTACAGTGTCCTGTATCATAATGTAATATAACTCCTCAAATTTTTGATCGATTTTTACGAGAGGAGGATTGTTCTTTGTAAAAAATATATAGAAAAAATATTAATACCTGAATTTCTATAAGAATCATAGAGAACGAGTAAGCAAAAGCTATGTCACCAAGTGCTTGCAAACTCCCCCAAGTTTTCTGAGCTTTTGTCACATCATTTACCCCAGTAATGGTTCCAGCAAACTTTTTGTTCTCTATTATATATTGTCCAAATATATTCATAAATATATATATATAATAAAGTTTATATATAAATAGAAGACAAAAGAATAGCTAGATGTGCGGAGCTAGCATTGTTATATTTTATTTTAACTTCTTAGAAGGAGTAGTGAATATCAGAGTCTTGAGAGTGTGCAACAATTTCTATATTGGATCGGGTTTATATAGAGAAAGAGTCGAAAACAATGAAGAAGACTACATTAATCAGTGTAGAGACAAAAAGAGGTGTATTGTTGAAATTGTTAAATATAATTCATTGTGATTTGATATGATTAGATTTGATATCATATGATTAGATTTGATATCATATGATTAATTTGATATGATTAGATTTGATATCATATGATTAGATTTGATATCATATGATTAGATTTGATTTAGAATATTTTGGGTCTTTTATGTTTTGGGCTAGTGTAAACCTAAAACTATAAATAGGGTGTCTTGCTTTGTATTCTACATCACAACAGAACAGATTTCACAGTTGCAGTTAGCAAGTGAAAGTTCAATAAGAAATCCCACAGTTGTGGGTAACACATTCTCTCCAAATACTTCTTCTCTCATTCTTCTCTTTCTTGTTTGTTATTCTTCTTCTCTTTTGTTGTTCTTGATAATTACTTGTTATTACCATCATTATCATATTGTGGGTTTGTTCATCAATCTTGAGATCAAGATTGAAGGGAATTCTTCATAGGGTGTGAGGTGAATTTCCAACATCTGGTATCTAGAGCTTCGGTTAAGAGATTCAAGGAAGGAAGATAGTGATGGCGATGAACTATCCGAACGGCAATTTTCCGGCGACCCTGCCAATTCTCAAGAAAGACAATTATGAGAATTGGTGCAAGCAGGTTAAAGTGATTTTCTGTTATCAAGATCTTTGGGATCTTGTGAAGGACGGAGTGACACCGCTTGTGGAGAATGCAACGGAGGCGGAAAAGGTTGCGCACAAAGAATTGAAGAAGAAGGATTATAAAGCACTCTTTATAATTCATCAGTGTGTTGATCCTGATAACTTTGAAAAGGTTAGTGATGTTGATTCAGTAAAAGAAGCATGGGAGATTCTTGAAAAGTCGTTTGGAGGTGCAGAGAAGGTGAAAGAGGTGAGGTTACAAACTCACAAGAGAACCTATGAGTTGCTTCAGATGGAAGACAATGAAAGCATTACAGATTTCTTCACCAGAGTTACAAGGTTGGTGAATCAAATCAAAGTATGTGGAGAAACGCTGACGACGAAAGCAGTTGTCTCAAAGATTTTGAGATCGTTGGCTCCAAAATTTGACCACGTGGTAGTTGCCATAGAAGAGTCGAAAGATCTGTCAGTATTGACGAAGGAAGAGCTTCAAGGGACTCTTGAGTCTCATGAACAGAGGATGGCTGAGAGAGCTGCAGGAAAGTCGAAAGATATGGCTTTGCAGGCACAGACTGAAAAGGAGAGAAAAGGAAAAGGTAGCTGGAATGGCAACAAAGGAGGAAACCAGTCGAATCAAAAGAAACCTTGGAACCAAGGCAACCAAAGAGGTGGTGCTGCAGGTAAAGGAAGAGGTGGTGATCGAAAGACATACAAAATCCACATTCAATGTTTCAATTGCCAGAAGTATGGTCATTATGTTAGTGATTGTCTAGAAAAGAAGAGAAATCAAGAGACTGATGCAAAGCTGGTGAAACATGAAGAAGAAGAAACGTTGCTAATGGTCACAACAAACGATGAAGAAAGATTCCAAGATCAGTGGTACTTGGACTCAGGATGCTCATCACACATGACTGGAAGGAAAGATTGGTTTGTCAACATGAAGCCCTCGTCGAAGGAATTTGTGAAGTGTACAACTGAGCATGGAGTATATGTAAGAAGAAGCAATGGCTAATTGCTTATACTATGTCTCTATGTTGATAATTTGTTGATAACAGGGAGTTCCAAGAAGGAGATCGAAGATTTCAAACATGACCTGAGTAAGGAGTTTGAAATGTCAGACTTGGGAAATCTCTCATATTTCCTTGGCATCGAATTCTATAAGACAAGTAGAGGTTTGATGATGCACCAAAGAAGATATGCAGGCGAGATACTCAAGAGATTTGAGATGTAAGATTGCAACCAAACTTCGACTCCAGCTGAGCCCAGATTGCAACTGTCGAAGGATTCAGATAAAGATGATGTCGACCCAACCCAATACAGAAGACTTATTGGGTCACTTAGATACCTTTGCCACACAAGGCCTGACTTAGCATACAGTGTTGGTATGATAAGTAGATTCATGCAGAAACCAAAGGTATCACACCTAGCAGCGGCGAAGAGGATACTGAGGTATCTGAAAGGAACTCTCGACTATGGCATTTTGTTTCCAGCAGCTGATGAAGGAAAAGAATGCAAGTTAGTGGAATACACAGACTCCAGTTGGTGTAGTGATGCTGAGGATCGAAAATCCACAGCTGGATATGTGTTTATGTTAGGTGGTGCACCAGTTGCTTGGAATTCGAGAAAGGAACCAGTGGTGGCATTATCATTATGCGAAGCAGAATATATAGCTGTTTCCCTTTGTGCATGTCAAGCAACTTGGATGGTGAACTTGGTCGAAGAAGTCACAGGGAAGAACCATGGAGCAATTACCATGAAGATAGACAGCATGTCAGCTGTCAACTTGGCAAAGAATCCAATAGCTCATGGTCGAAGCAAGCACATCGAAATGAGGTTCCATTATCTCCGAGAGCGGGTAGCAGAAGGGAAGATGAAGTTGGAACACTGCAGAACTGAGAATCAGATTGCAGATATCATGACGAAGGGAGTGCAGGTCGAAGCCTTCAGAACACTAAGGGCCATGATGAATGTAGACAGTTTAGACACAATGAATTAGGTGATGTGTTAAATATAATTCATTGTGATTTGATATGATTAGATTTGATATCATATGATTAGATTTGATATCATATGATTAATTTGATATGATATGATTAGATATCATATGATTAGATTTGATATCATATGATTAGATTTGATATCATATGATTAGATTTGATTTAGAATATTTTGGGCCTTTTATGTTTTGGGTTAGTGTAAACCTAAAACTATAAATAGGGTGCATTGCTTTGTATTCTACATCACAACAGAACAGATTTCACAGTTGCAGTTAGCAAGTGAAAGTTCAATAAGAAATCCCACAGTTGTGGGTAACACATTCTCTCCAAATACTTCTTCTCTCATTCTTCTCTTTCTTGTTTGTTATTCTTCTTCTCTTTTGTTGTTCTTGATAATTACTTGTTATTACAATCATTATCATATTATGGGTTTGTTCATCAATCTTGAGATCAAGATTGAAGGGAATTTTTCATAGGGTGTGAGGTGAATTTCCAACAGAAATGAGTGGTTGTGGTGAGAGAATGAGGTGGAGATATACTGAGAGGCTTGGATGAGAAGGGTGATAGAGTGGATAACATTGGAAGAGTGTAGGAATGGAAGAGAGCCATGGATGAGTTTGGAGAGTGTGAGGAAGAAAAAAAGGATTTTTGAACGAAGGGATTTATGATATCTATCTATCTTATGTATTTAGAATTAGATAGATTTTACCTCAGTTTCAATGTGTATATTTGTATATTTTTAAAATAGAATAATTTGTGTATTTTTTTTTTCTAGTACACTTTTTTATATATTAACTATTTTTTCAAGTATATATTAACTACAATTTTTATTTGGATAAAATGTATATTTTTTTTTAGAAGACACACTTCGATTTAGAGGGGTGAATATATCATAAATGTTACAATTAAAATTTTTAGCAAAAATATAGTTCAACGGAAAAACGATCCAGGTCAAATCGTTTAACGAAACCTACTATCAAAAAGCTATATGCGCAACGAAAACCTTTTGGAATGATAATGAATACAAATCATTCAACAATTATCAAGTCACGAATCAATCAAATGCAAAGCTATTCGTAGTGTTTATTTTCATTGAACACAAAGCTATAAAAAATACACATAAACAATTTATGTCGTAGTGAAATTTGGATACCAAGCTATTGATTAACTTGAATCTTTAATTCATTTGCAACCGGTCTTTGATTTATCCGAGGGAAAGGTTAAAGGAAGGAAAACCTATTTTGCATTGTAAACACAACGCAGGGAGAGATCTAAGGTTTGGGGGTTGGTTAAACTTAGGGAAGGTGCTAGCATCCTAAGTTTCTGTAGTACTCTACAGGAACCTCTGGTTTTATGTTTGTTTATTGCTATGGTTTATCTGCTTAAGGGTAATGCTAAGGGTTAAAGGTAAAGAGAAGGACCTAAAGGGGTTAGTCCTAAGTATACTCGCCAAAACGTCGCATCCTGTGCCTACATATCCTGACGGGAATGGAATCAGAGTATCTATAGTTCCCCTAAAGGGTTTGAGGAATTATTGACTGTGAGTCAAAGTTCCAAAGGGAAATAAGTGTTCATATGGAAACGCTTACTTGGAGTGCGAAGACTCCTATCTACGTTAAAAGTTAAATTGAAAAGGATGAAGGTATGTCCACGACGGGACGCCTAAAAAGGTGAGTACATGGACTCAAATCCTAAGGCTAGGGTGAGGGTAAAGGCATTGACACGGGGGTCAAGCATGTGAACCTTTCCTTTGGAGGGGAATATCGGTAATGGAGAATAGCGAATGGATAAAAGCGATGATGTGATTGATAAGCACGAGGTAATGAAATGTAGGTAATGTGTATGACGAAAAGTGATTAGAGATTAAATGTAAAGGGATAAAACTGAGAAATGAAGTTAGATAGTGAATTATGGTTAAGTGGATTTAGAGATTAGCAATGGTGAAATTATTGATTTGGAAATTAGGAGTTTAATTATTTTTGTGATTTTTAAGAGTATTTCATAATTAAATTTAAAATATGTTTAGAGATTAAATTAAATTGCAAAGATGAATTAAATTAATCAAAAATTAAAAAGAGTTTATTTATTTATTAAGACAAGCAATTAGTTTTAAAAAAAACCAATAACTTAAGTTCTAAAACTAAAATAAATTAAATTAA